AGGGAAGGCAACTGACTTTCAAAATAAAACAGGAAGTGAATTGAAAGTGTGACTGTCCATGCGGATGCTAATCTGCAACATAAAGACGGAAAACCTTAAAGCCTCTTGAAAATGGCTCCAGCTGTTGTTTAGCCAATCTTCTTGAAGTACAAAAATTGTAGTAAAGATAACAGATACAATATTTGATTGCTTTACACAGAGTCAAATATCAGCCTAAGTGTGCATTAGTCCATTTCTAGTTCTTCCTTTACTGAAACTGAGTGTGTGCTCTGTGCAGTGGAAAATAAAAGTTTGACCTGTTACATGTTCACAGAGGATTTGCATTTCAACACATCCTGCTCTTTGACTGCACTTAAGTAGAGGATTAATATGGAAGTCATATGACCATGTTGACATCTCGAACACAAAATGCAGTCGCTTTCTAACTAATTTGACTTTGACTTTGACTAATCCCAGAGCGGGACAGATGGAGGACGATCTGTGCTGGGTATTAAAACGAGTAAAACAGGATCATATCTGTCACATTTTCTTCTGAACAAATATCAGTTTGCTTTCAGCTTCATACGTCATGTAGAAAAGTTTCTGATTTTTGTAGCAACATAAGGTGGAGCTGCTCAGAGTGTTTGTAGACTGGTGGTTGTTATCATGTGATCAATCATTGATAGTCTTGTGATAACAGGTGGCATAAGAAGCAGGAGCTTCCCACTGGGACTCTCAGATTTTGGCACATGCAAAAGGACTCTGTGCAGACGAGGTGTGAGATCTTAGATGTGACTTGTAGTGTGAGGAGACCTTCACAGGTGAAACAAAGGCAAAATTAGCTGAATGCAAACATCAAACTAAAACCAGCGATCTTTCAGGGGTCAAGAGTCAGTGACCTGGAGTCACTCACATACCCGAGGCATCTCTCGCCTGAGTGCCTGAGAACGGGGCAGCACCGAATACCATTTGAAGGCTCCGGTTCTTCATCAGTAATTAAACAGCCAAAAGTGAGAGACCGAGCAGGTTGGAGGTGCTTGATTTTTTTCAAAACTTGACAAAAATGACCATATAGGAAATAAAAACAAATACCTGTTCTGAGCAGCATGGGGTCAGTACTGTGGCTGCAACAAGGAAGTGTGGCTATAGAAGTCTATGATAAAGACCAACGTGACCACAGTAAACACTTCCCAGAGGACTCAGTTTTCAGTGTTATTTAATACATTATGATGCTTAGTTTGTATATTAAACTTCATCAGAATCCAGAAGCAGAAGAAAGAAGGGTGGAGAGCTTTAGGGTGGATCTGTCCTGTCACTGACTGGTTTCAAAAAGCTAAGCTGCTGATGATGACCAAAATGCTCAACTTAAGACTTTAAAAACTGGACACTGCAAATGTTTGGGTGACATTATCATAGCTGCATCTGTCTTTTATGCATAGCTGTGGTCACTAGCTGCTCTCTCACTGTGTGATCAAACAGAGCAGTGCTAGAAGCCGAGATCAAGCCTGTTGATTAGCAACTTTTTTTTAAAAGAAATTTGGTAAAGAGCTACAAAAACAGACTGAATCTAGAAACAAAGTGACTCAAGTGTGATGCTCACCTGTGAGCGAGAAGGACTTCAGGCACTCAAGCTGAGCTGATATGCATTTCCACATTTAAATAAGCAAATAAATAGGCAAATGCATCCCTACCCATGCCTAACATCTG